AGCACGGAAGTGATTACTGCCTAAGCTATAACTACCCCTAAACTATACTCCCCACTCCTCCTGCCCGATACAGAGTTATATCCCGCTTTTCAGACTGCCAGTGTAAGCTAGACTGGTGACAAGTCGTTTGACTAGGGCAACATACAATGCATCAGAATGACTATTATATATATAAGCCCATCTAGCTCCTAGAGAAAAAAACGTAGCGAGTCAAAAGCTTTCTAATGGCGGCATATCAATGGAAAAAATGGAACACAGTTTCACGTTTCTGTATTATTTGATACTTAGGAGATCTGACAGAATAAGAAACAGTGATCAAAATGGGGAGGGTTGTTCATTGATGTGGTTATAATCCACATACTCCATAAGCTACACACGCGCACGCACGCACGCACGCACGAACGCACGCACGCACGCACACACACACACACACGTACACACACAAACAAGCATATCCCCAAGGTGACTCACGCGTGTACAAACCAAACAATACCTGGCCAGCTTTAAAATTTTAAACACACAAAATGACAGAATACGTATGTGTTACCGTATAAGTTATCATGACAAAGTAGTGATGTCACGATCATCGATTATACTCGATCATCGGTTGAACAGTGGCTCGAACCAAGCGCTTAGTGATGTCACGATCATCGATTATACTCGATCATCGGTTGAACAGTGGCTCGAACCAAGCGCTTGGTTATCAAAATCCATAATCAATTTCATCAAAAAAAACCCAGAAACTTACTGTATTATACACACAGTAGTAAACAGTGCAAAACAAACAGTAAACAGGGCTAAACAAGCACATACATGCACACACGTACATGTATGCCCACGGCGTTACGCACACGCAGGCTTTCAACACCCCGAGTAACCGATTGTAACAGTAACCGATCATCGGTTACTTGGGTCCAACCGATTATCGATTACGAAATTAAAACCAATTTACAACACTATGACAAACACGTTCATATTGTTGGATAATTAACATTATTAATAAAATTCATAATCACAAAAAACCGCATTATACGTATATCAGGAGTGAATAATAATACTATAATTCACTCTATTATTATTCACTCCTGGTATATTATTACAACGTACCGTTTGCCAAACAAAAATACCTCGCAATCATACTTCACATGCCTGAGTAAACGTTCACAAATGAAGATTTAAAATGCATGCAATGCCATTTATCACAATTTAGGTAATGCAATGCAAGATTACCAGTCATATGATATCATCATGGGTTAACAATGACAAATTTGTCAAAATATGTCAAATAATATATACATGTATACACATATACATACACATACACAATACACATATATATATAATATATATATATATATATATATATATATATACATAATTATACAAATATATGTAACAAATACATGATATATATGTAGGCCTGTATGTATATATATGTACGGTATATGTATATATATATATGTATAGGGAGCAAAATTAACAGGAGTCCGGAGTCAAATACTCCCTGATTTACTGCCAGACTCCCTGATTTGACATATGCAGGAGTCCGTGTGACTCCCTGAAAATTCTGCCATACTAACTATAGTTCGTTCTGGAGCACGGCCTCGAGGAATTGCCGTATTTTTTCAGCTAATGTCCAAAAAAAATTTGGCAGACATGCAACCACATGAATCTTAAAAATAAGCACATGCGTTATTGTTAATATCTTTAATTTGAACCTCAGACTGCGGACTCCCTCATTTTGCTGCGGACTCCCTCTTTTTGAGGGTAGGGAGTCCGTTGGACTCCCGTGTTCAAAAGTTATGGGCTCTTGATATGTATGTACATGTATATGTCATATATCTCAAATAAATGACACATTTGTCATTATTCACCCCTGATATCATTCACAGACAGAGCAAATGCTATATAATAGGTGAGTATGACACTAATGACAGATTGGCAACTGGACTAAATTAACGGTCAACAGTTCCTGCATTTATGAACATCTGTCCACAAGACATACTACCTACAGAGCTTTTGCCACCGCACCACATCAAGTCTTTCAGATCCTTATTTTTAAAATTTATAGTTTTTTTTACTTAATACATGATTGACTGCATATTGAGTTTTCTAAGGATTGCTCACATATATGATATATGATATATGTTATGATATATATATATAGCCTCATAAAATGTTCTCTTCACGATGGTAAATATAAGTAATTTAATTGTGTGTGTAAACTTGTGCATGTATCAGTATTGTGAAAAGTAAGTGAATCTAATTTTTCAAGGTTGTCTTGCAGTACTGTATGAGTTACTCCATGCATAAAAGCACGAAAAGCGTACACACACACACACACGCACGCACGCACGCACACACGCGCATATGCACACGTACACACAGATACACAAACAAGGCTACTCCATACATGTAAAGATACGTATGTAATCAACTTACCATATCTGTAATTTGACTTTAGTGCCATCTAAGTCTATTATTTTCTGCTTAAAATCAATACCTGCAAAACGGATAGATATGTATATATAATATTATAGAAATACAATGTTCAGTTCTGTGTCCACATGCTGTACACAGGATATCAGCGATGTGGTCTGGAGTAGGAACAGTGTGTGAGCTGGATAGTAGTGGATACCACCATGGTATTAGTTCCACTACTGTTAATGAGTGACAAGTATACCGCAAGTACGTCTACAATGACCCATGTACAGTATAGTATAGTGCAGATGAATAACCACACAGGAGGTGAAACCAGCTGGGCATAGCTTGGGGTGGTGGCAGTTGTTACTACACGAAGGTAGATATACTATTGCATGATCAATACTAAGCCAACAACGAATTCTCCGTGGTTAACTGCACTAATCTTTGCTAACCCTCCACCCTTGACAAAATGTGCTAGCTGCGTATTCCTGTTGTGTATATAAATATGTATAATGTACATTCTGGGTCAAAACAATTCATGTCGGCTATCTCCACTCGTGTGCATGTGCTAAATTGTAAAGTATTAGACTCATCAACGTTAATATGCAAAGGAACATATATATATACGTTCATACCATCCACGCGGCATTCTGTGAGATTATTTATGAATGTGATTTGAACGATCAACACAAAAGCTATATATCTATAGGCTATAGCAATAGCACTATGTTAATTATCATATTTACACTACTATACTATGACTATACGTAGTAATGATGCAAATGTGGTATATGGTCCCAATTAAATTGCAGTATGTTATGGTATAGTAGTATGGTATGTTATAGTATATGTTATGGTAAGTATTATGGCGTACTGCTGACACATTATGAATTGGATCATGAATTAAATTAAATTAAATATGTTTAAAATTACCTTTCCCCTAATCAAATAATACATATCAATTTGTGATACATGCCAACATTGCAAATCGCTAATCAAACGATCGATACATTATATAAGTAAATTCCCTACAAAATTACACTATTGAACCACTTATTTTTGAACCAGCACTTGAAGCTTCTAGTACTATATTGTTATTACCGCTGAGAGGGTCTATGTCCCCCAGGGTACTGCCGGAACGTACCCTGGTACTAACTAATATGCCGGACCGTACCTCGCCTACTCCACTAACGAGTCTAGGGAGTCGCCTATGCCTACTCCCTAACCCTAACCCTAACCATATCAGATAGTTACCAGGGTACGTTCCGGTATACCAGACCGTACCCATGCAGGGTACGTTCCAGCAGTACCCTGGGGACATAGAGATATCACATAATTTTATCTTTAATTATCACCTCAGTTGAGTTGTGAGAAGTTGTAATCTATTAATTTCTTTGTGGCTCAACTATTTACTTGGTGTTAGTATTATAACAGTGTTAATTAGAAGCACAGTCATGCTTTAGTTTAAGTTTTACTCACCCTCAGTGCCGCTGAGAGGGTCTATGTCCCCCGGGGTACTGCCGGAACGTACCCTGGGTATGGTCCGGTATACCGGGGCGTACCCTGGTACTATCTAATATGCCGAACCGTACCTCGCCTACTCCACTAACGAGTCTAGGGAGTCGCCTATGCCTACTCCCTAACCCGAACCCGAACCCTAACCCTAACCCTAACCCTAATCCTAACCCTAACCCTAACCCTAATCCTAACCCTAACCATATCAAATAGTGACCAGGGTACGTTCCGGTATACCGGACCGTACCCAGGGTACGTTCCGGCAGTATCCTGGAGGACATAGACCCTATGAGCCTCAGTGGCAGTGCCTCACTCACTGACTTTCACACGTACACATTGAATCAGTGTACTGTACAGTATACCTACTGTGCTGTGTGCAGTGTAAAGCCAAATATAACCCGGGTACTATATATAATACTATTTATTTGGTCAAACAATTTTGAAACATGCATCAATTTATAATATTTCGATCATTTTAATGGATTCTACGCCATCTATTTCCTATCGGCGCAGACAAAATGACTCATCGCACACGACCGGACTCGGCTGATCTTGATGTGATGAATCATGTCGATCGCCGAACGTGTGAAGCCATTTGACATCTAAAACCAGCAAATATCTCAGGATAATACACCACATCGACTAGAGAACTTACCTATCGTTGAGATATAAGTATCATAGTACTTATCATCACAAAATCTGTGAACGATACACGTTTTTCCAACATTAGAATCACCTAAAACTAAGATTTTATAGGCTGCTGGATGCTGCGTAACCGCCATGTCTGTGTCTGGGGTCATGACCTAAGTGCGGTGACTTCTGACCTGGGCGCGATCCAAGCATCATTACCTTTTCATTTTACTCTTTTACTACAATGGATCGCGTGCGAAACCACGAATACGTTAACAAATGATATCAAGATGCAAAAATATATTAATTGTAATAACGTTCTTTCTTACACAAGCGCGACTATTATTACTATGTGTATTATCAGTATCGTCATCATAGACACGATTTAGACACTTAATTAGGAAAACGACAAGAGTTATAGTTTATGGCTCTTATTTATTACACAAAACAAAAATAGTATATCATTGTAAAAGTAGATTAAAGACAAAACGAAAGACACAGTAAACTACTATTGCTTAAAAAAAAAAATATATATATCATAAGTCAGAGAAATAGAGGTCGCTGATTTCAAAATGGCAGCGCTCATTCAATATGTTTACATTGAAAATGTTTAGTAGTATAGTAGTTTTAGTACTGTTACTGGTCATTAGTGACATATCTAATCTTAATCCGTAGATACGACTTATTCTATACAAGAAATACCATGAAAGTTGTAAGTTCTAAATAGAATAATTGTGCTTATTTAGCTGTGTTATCTTATATACATTCTATCTAATTCAGGCTCGTAGTCATAGGGTCTATGTCCCCCAGGCCCTGCCAGGGTACTGCCGGAACGTACCCTGGGTACGGTCCGGTATACCGGAACGCAGGGTTCTCCCTACGTTGCGCAAACGGGGCGCGCGCGTTTGGGAAAACTCCCCCCTGTTTCAATCGTTGCGCCCCGTTTAAATTACCTCCGCCCCGATTAAATTCCACCACAATAAAAGTTTGCCAGCGCGGGAATCGATCCTCAAGAATTCCATTCGACCAGGACACCCGACGCGTGTATTTTTACCGTACCACGCATGCACTGCAGACAATACACAAGTACAAACAGTTAACCTGCTCCCGAACCAACACTAACTGTTACACCGACTCGGCTTTAAATTTTTTTCTTTATATCATGAGCGGATAATTCAGTTATACGGTCCCAAAGGCGTGACATGAACATGTATTTTCAATTGAGTCATTATTTACATATCTGCTCACGTGTTTTTGTAAAGCATAACCATTACCTTTAGGTCATTATAGTGAAGAACAGTTAGTCGGTACAAGAGTTTTGCAGGCGAAATATGGTGTCGAGAGGCTTCTTTACATTTTTGTTGTGTTTCGATAACATCGGCGGGTGTCCATTGAAAGCTATCTATTGGACAATCAATAGCTTTATATGGCAATTACAGATTTACTTGATTGTTTATCAATTAGTTTGTATTAAGTTTACTCAATTTTGGCCAGTTCAGCAACTTTTGGGAAATATTTATTATGTGAAGTCAAAAATGGACACCGTTCACGACCGCGACATATGAATCAGAAAATGTTTATTTTTTCCATATCTTAAGACATCACTTGAAGCCATACAAGTGTTTAATCATTCAAGAATAATACTAAGTGGTATAAAAAAAGGCATTGCTTTGAGGATGCATGACCTTTTCATCTTTGATAAATGTGTAATTTTGTAATTTGTCGTGTACGTAACTTGGACACCAAATTTCGAATCGATTTTTTGCACTCCTTGCGCACAATGTGTCAATACTAATGTCAAATAGCGTCTTATTGCAATAAAATAACTTCCATCATTAGCAAAAGAATTCCTTGTGGTTGTTGATAAGAACGCTGGAAAACACAAGCGCTTGACAATTACGATGATACAGACAAACAAATCTGCTCGTTGGGATGGATACTTCATTTATTCAAAGAGGCACACACACACACACACACACATACATAATACAACCTTGATACACGTTACAAATGTAGCACTAGAAGATCACATTGCTAAGTAATGGTAGCACATGTATGCACACGCACCCACATGTATGCAAATGATAATCAACACACACACACACACACACACACACACACACACACACACACACACACACACCACACACACACACACACACACACACACCCACACCCACACTACCAGCACACACACACACACACACACCACCAACACACACACGCACACGCACGCACAAACACCCACCCACACCCACACATGTATGCAACTTTATACTACATATGTATTCAACACACACACACCCACACATATATGCACCGAAGACACGTTACGTTTGGGAACATGCATGTGTCCATTGCTACGAAACAAACGCGATATAATACGAGAAGTATAGACTCGTTACAGCTTGTTGAATTGAATTTTGGTAAATTACAGTGTTATAATTTGATTATATAAGATCTCTGCTAAGAAGCGTATTTTTTGTCATTATGCAAGTAAATTCTACATATTTTCATTGATTTGCTTTCTGTTTCGTAATTAACGGGCACACCGAAATATTGTGTCCGTTCGTGATGTGAAACAACACATTATTTAAAATATACAATTCAGGAAAAAACTTTACAATTCAGGACGTACCAACGAAAGGGCAACTATTTTCTACTAAATGTAATCAAGAAGATTAAACGACAAAAAAAAAAAAAAAAAAAAAAAAAAAAAAAAAAATTCATAGTAGTTCGCTATTTGATCTCCCCGCGTGTCGTCGTAAAATGGACTTACCTGCCTACGAACGTTGGTTTGACAACATCAGTAGAAAAAGTCGATCTAGTATTTATTCCAACATCGACATGTCGTAATTACCTTTGCAAACAGATTATACGATATATAATCCTATTCCTTATGTGCACCTCTTGTGCTTAAAACGATTTCGCTTTATTTTTGCTAAATCAAGACCTTCAAGTTATACTTGCATCTGACTGCTACTTACCGTTTCGTATTCCGTAATGGCACCACAAACCACGTGGTCGGGATCGCGACGCAAACTAAACTGCTATGGCACGCCTGGCTTTGAACCTGTGCACTTAGATTTTGTCAGAAGCCCGATCGGAAGTTTCCACCCGACAGCAGCCACCTTACATCTTCATATTTGTCCACAACTGAGCGGCTTCCCAAGTCTATATATGCTGACAGGCGTCGCGTTCGTAACGAAGTGGACGACAAAATTAAAAAAAAACTTTACGACGTTGGTTTCCAAAGTAGGCGGGCCAAGTTTTCGTCCATTTCTGTCACTGGCGACTGATTTTGATATCAACAATGATATTAATTTTACAGTCGCATACAGTTATGGACAAACTATATTACAATATAATGTTAGCTTGTTTATCAGTCATAAATGAGACACCACGTGTTAACGAACATACCTTACTGCAGTGGAACATCGATTGATTTGCTTTGAGGCACACCATCCAACGTGATTTACCAATTCGATTAGGAAATAAAATCCAATATTCTCTCATTAAAACGCTTCGGCAGATAACCCATGTAGAGTGTTCTATCTTTTAAAATATCAACTTGATTTTATCCCCGCTTTCATGATCGTCACAATACACGGCACTGCTCAAATCCGACCATTTACTGCGAGAAAAATGCAGTCTTTTCCTTAAAACTGTTTGAATCACAGCCAATTTGGTCTTTAATCTTCTTTTATATCTTCCATAGAATTACAGTAAAAAATGTTATACCAGCCATTAATTTGATTTAGTTACAAATAAATTATTAATTTACACAAAATCTTCAGGCACTCAGATTTTGCACCAAGACTGAATTTCCCACATATCACAGAAACCAACCCAAATACCGTCTATGCGTGTGGTGGCGATTTTACGCATTAATTTAGTGGTACGGTAAATACACACCCCGGACCCCTAGTTTCCCCCCTCCCCCTCCCCCTTCCCCTCCCCCTGTTTGAATTTCATCCTGGGAGAACCCTGGAACGTACCCTGGTTACTATTTGATATGGTTAGGGGTTAGGATTAGGGAATAGAGCGCAGTGCGGACTCCCTAGACTCGTTAGTGGAGTAGGCGAGGCTTACAGTCCGGCATATTAGATGATACCAGGGTACGTTCTTGGTATACCGGACCGTACCCAGGCTACGTTTCGCGCAGTACCCCGGGAGGACATAGACCTTCTCAGCCTAATCAGGGTTAATCACATGATTTATTATTTTTTATTTGTTTATTTAGGCAATTATCCATCATACAATACATAGCATACTTTTACAATAAAATTCTGAATTCATAAAATTGGATAACTACCAAGGATATATACACAAAAAGCATGACTAGCACACTTATTTACATTGTGGTTCTTGTTAGTTGTTTTGCTAGGTATGCCTTGAATCTAACAATTACACTACTAGTACTAATACTAGTACTGCTGATAGGCGGTATATTGTGCCCCAGGGTACTGCCGGAAACGCTACCCTGCGGTACGGTCGGTATACGGAAGTACCCGTGTGCGTACTAAATACTACTATCTAATATGCCGGACCGTACCTCGCCTACTCCACTAACGAGTCTAGGGAGTCGCCTACGCCTACTCCCTAACCCCAACCCTAACTCTAACCCTAACACTAACCCTAACCATATCCGCTAGATAGTTACCAGGGTACGTTCCGGTATACCGGACCGTACCCAGGGTACGTTCCGGCAGTACCCTGGGGGACATAGACCCTATCAGCACTAGTACTAGTACTAGTAGTAGTACTTCTACTTCTACTTCTATACTATTACAGTATCAGCACTAACTATTGAAGTATACAAATTTGTAGTTTTAACCGGTCATACAATGGTACATTCTCATAAGACGATACAAACTTTTCTTATGCCTAATTTCAACCGAATTCTTTTATCGAAAATCATACGCCTCTGCCTCTAATGTTTCTACCTTTTCCATCAGACATTTCTTGACACTATACTTAAAACTAGAATAAACAGAATTTGTCCTAACTTGCTGTGGTAGAGAGTTCCAAATCCAAGATTCAATTGCAGTATAAGTAAAAGAGTTTCCCACTGCTTCCCACCCTCGGTTTAAAAATAGACATCTCACCTTCCCTTGTATTGAAACTATGGACTTCTGACATTAACATGAAACTTTCTGTCATATACTGTGGGCCGAGAATATGTAATATTTTAAAACCCCCATTGACCTTCAGTTGCATTACCCTGAACTCTATAGGTACCCAATTTACAGCCTTGAACTCTCTAGCACCTATGTGTGCTCTAGTACCTAGGTTGAGAACACATCTAAATTCTAATGGCTTTATTTTGACACACTTGCCGCTTATCCCTTGTGCGCTTTGTGAGATTGCTGTACCATATACTGCTTGCATAATCAAAATGACATTGAATTAGGGCAGAAACTAGTCATCTTTTACATGCCGTGTTTAAATACTTAGCTTTTCTGGAAAGAAATTTCAATCTATTGTTAACCTTTTTTACAACCTTAATTCCCATTACCTCACCACTCATGGAGTCTTCCAAGTCTATTCCTAGATAGTTAACTGTATTGTTATGTGCAATTAATTGCCACCCCATTACGTCTGATGTCCAGTTTTGGATTATCCCTGAGTTTGTGTTTAGTTCCAAAAATAATACTTTATGTTTTTCCAAGATACAAGGATAAATTATTATCATTGAGCCATTTATTAATG